GTCCAAGAAAGCTGGTGCGCTCCCCGTGTTCCTGCCACGCCTTTGGGGTGAGCAAGAGCAGCTGCAGGGCTCCCCCTGGCTCCCCCGGCCTAGGGCATGCCGAGGGAGAGGGCTGGTCTGAGCACTGCTCTGCCCATTCACAGCTGATGTGTTGTCCCCGTCAGGGAGCAGGGTACTGGGCTGGCTCGAAAATCTCCTCACGTATGTCCGTGTCTTCATGGGAGCTGAGATCTCCCATGGACCCCGCTTCTCCCAAGGATAGGAGAGTTCTGCCCTTAATCTACGTGGGTCCAGCAAGCCGGAAATAGAACCCAGGAGTCTAGCCACCCCATTCCTGGTGTGACCCGCTACCCCACATTGCCACCCCAACCCTTCCAAGGGGAGATGGTTCCCCTCATTCGATTTCCCGGCAGGAAGGGAGGAGAATTTGTCAGTGTGCAAAGACACCCAAAAGGTGGGCAGGGCCGGTGAGGGGAATGGAAACTTACAGACTCTACCAGACAAAGCTTGAAAATGCATCCAAGTTTCTATATTACACATGAGCCCTCCTATAAAAGGACAGGTTTCAGAGTAGCAGCCTTTTTGCCTATAAAAGGAGAAAAAGAAAGAGAGACAGGAAACTGGAAACAGTGAGAGACTGGTACATCTTCTCTGCTTTGCAGAATTAGCCACCGACTTCACCCCGGGGAAACTTTACTCTGAATGTTTGGTAAGTGATACCCCTCTGGTCTATTGGTGCCCTAACCTCTAGACCTGAAGACAATTTTTTATTTCAGAAGGTCAAGAAAACTACTAGGGGGGAGTCTGTTCTAGATTTGATTTTGACAAATAGGGAAGAACTGGTTGAGAATTTGAACGTGGAAGGCCACTTGGGTGAAAGTGATCATGAAATGGTAGAGTTCCTGATTCTAAGGAATGGTAGGAGGGAGAACAGCACAATAAAGAGAATGGATTTCAAGAAGGCAGATTATAGCAAACTCAGGGAGTTGGAAGGTAAGATCCCATGGGCAGCAAGTCTAAGGGGAAAAACAATTGAAGACAGTTGGCAGTTTTTTGAAAGAGACATTATTAAGGACACAAGAACAAACTACCCCATTGCGTAGGAAAGACAGGAAGGATGGCAAGAGACTAGCCTGGCTTTATTAGGCAGTCTTCAATGATCTAAAACTCAAAAAAGAGTCATGTAAGACAATATCAAAAGCCTTACTAAAGTCAAAATATACCACATCTACCACTTCCCCCATCTACAAGGCTTGTTACCCTGTCAAAGAAAGCTATCCGGTTGGTTTGACATGATTTGTTCTTTATCACCTTATTATCTTCTAGGCGTTTGCAAATTGATTGCTTACTTATTTGCTCTATTTTCTTTCCGGGTACAGAAGTTAAGTTGACTGGTCTGTAATTCCCCGGGTTGTTCTTATTTCCCTTTTTATAGATGGGCAGTAGATTTGCTCTTTTCCAGTCTCTGGAATGTCTCCCGTCTTCCAAAGATAATTGCTAGTGGCTCAGATATCCCCTCAGTCAGCTCCTTGAGTATTCTAGGATGCATTTAATCAGGCACTGGTAGTTTGAAGACATCTTACTTGTCTAAATAAGTACCCACCCCAGGGGCTTGCTGCAACCCTCCATCCCTTTCCTCATGCCAGGGGCTCTATATGCCTCTCCATTCCCCATGCCAGATGCACTGTGTGCCCCACATCCCCCCTCCTCCCCATGCCAGGGGCTCTGTGTGTGACCCTCCCCTTCTGCCCCCCATGCCAGATGTCAGTGTACTGTTGTGATAACTGGGTCTCTAAATTTACCCTCGTGAGCCCAGCCATAAAAAGTGAGTGAAAGATTATATATGTCCCTAGAACAACCAACGTGGCTGGGGAAAGGGCCGAACAAGGGGGAGGTGAGAGGGGACAGGACAATGGAATGAGCCCAAAGAAAACAGCTGCCTGAGATAAGGCAAGGGCAATGTTAAGATCACGTCTGGGAACCACAAACAGCGCAAGCCTGCACATCAACGCACCACAATTGGATGTCGGAAATGAGGGCTAATCGGTGGATGAAATATCGAGGGGACGGGCTGTGCCACCCACCTCTCCCTTTTGGGGTCCTG